GATCATGACCTGAGCCGAAGGCAGACGCTTAACCATCTGAGCCACCCAGGCGCCCTGGATTTTTAAATATACCCTGTAAATTATATTTGTAACAAAACATTTTTGAAGGGATTTTATTTTAAACTGGAAGTGTTTTTAAAAAATAATATAGTTAAGTGTTTATAAAAAATAAATAAATAAAAAAGAGACAGGTGGCTAAAAAATGAACAAAGGAATGAGGAAATGGGAAAAAGAGTTAAAAATATAAAAAAGTGGGATGTCTTTCAGGAAGATCCTTAGTAATCAGGCCATGAATCCAAGCCGAGTATGCCAAAGGCTGAGGAGCAAGATAAAGTTTCTGGTTTCATAATTTAAGATCAACACAGGACGTGAGGGCCAATCCAACTGAGAGTGGACATTGTGAACTCAGCTCTTCCTTCCTTTTAACTACTTCTAAGTCTCCTATAGACCTTCCCTCTGGGGTTGGAATTTTTTTTCTCAGTTTTTAGTCATTTCCTGACCAACGCTGAATTTTATATGAAGAAAATTCCCCAAACTCACTTGAAGTTTTTAGAGCAGCACAAAGTACAAGTTTCACACTTTTAAGGAAAATGTTCAGACTTTGGTTGTAGCCGAGTAACTTCAAAATGGATTTGTTTTAAAACCCAGGAGAGGAGAAGTATCTGAAGGAAATGCATATTTTAGACTATTTGTTTTAAGACAGTTCAAAATCAAATGAGCAATACAGGAACTCTGAACCACCCGCAAAGGATCTCTGGCTGGTCTACTGTCATCTAGGATTATAACAAGGTACACAGGGGCAGAGGAGGGTATTTCAATTCCTTCTTGCAAGGGCAGGATTGTCATGTGACTTCCATGCTCCTTGGATATGTATAAGTTCCCTTTACTTTCCCTCTGAATTTGTCCCTTTCTTCTGGAAGACACTGTGAAGGAGGGGAAAGCAAGCTGGTCTAAAAGGGCCTGGCTTCAGGCCTTGGGTGACTTTGACCATGGGCCTTAATCTCTCCATTCTTGTATCTTCATTGTTAGACTGCATTACCAACAAACCTGATCATCTCACCTCCCTGGGATGAAGGCGGGCGAGATTCAGACAAGGGATGGTTTAAGAAAGTTTTGAACAGGCATAAAGTGCTAAGGTATTACAAATGTCTATTCTCTCCTTTTATTTATACATTTATTTTCTAAATCAGCTGAGCCACTCCAAGAATCAGGTTTCAAGAATAAATGTTTATGGAAAGCAATGTTGGAGAAATCTATCTTGGTTCAAAGGAACACTTGGGGTGTGGGAACTATCTCGATATTTTATTAAAACGAAGACATAATGGGTTGTGACCATTTCAAAGGGATTAATTTTAGTTAGGAGTGCACATTCAGAAAGGAAGTAGAGGAGGAGATTCTGGGAAAAGCATAGTCTGTAAGACAGCCCCTGACTCAAGGTCTGAGAAATTATTGTTGTATTGGTGCTCAGATATTCATGTAACAAAAAAAATCAGAAAAATCAAGACTCAAAGAGTGTGGATACATGTTGATAAGCTTAAATGTGGTATGGGGCTGCCTCGCTGTGTGTGCTGGCTTTCAGGGGCGCTGAAGTAATAATACAGGCAAGGAAGGATTACAGTGGAGCAGGTGGCTCCATGCTCATGTGTTATCACAGGAAAATAACACAGCAGAGGGAATGCGCAAATCAACACAGTTCAACGATCCTGACCAGTCTCACTCTATTTGATGATATGTGTTCCTCTCTGGAGGAAAAAAATGAAGAAATTCATTCCCCAAGCCCTAGAAAGGCTAAAAATGTAGAAAGACAAAAGCAGATCTACATAAAAACCTTGAAGATTAATACACACAGTTTTAGAAATATGAAAAGCAAAAGCAATCATCCAAAGTCCTTCAACTGCTTTTGCCTGTCGTCTGCAGCGCATTTTCCACAGTTCTCCGGGACAGAAGGGGAGGCTGTCAGTAGCCATTTCCAGGTGTTTCTCACAAATATATACCAAGGGAGGTACCACAATGTCTGCTTTGGATTAAAGTGATGACCATCAGATTTCAAAACCAAGAACAAAAGGTTTCAAGAGTTGGTTTCAGTTTTGTCTCACCAAAACCAGAAAATCTGGGGAAGGTGGGATTCTACAGTTGTGAATTTCCTTCATGATTTAACGAAGAGGAGAGGAAATGGCATTTTCATATATTAGTTTAAGTGGAGAAAAAAAGAATGTGACTACAACCCGACATTAAAAAATACTTTCGATGGTGTTCCCTAATTACCAACAGTGATGGCTGTGGTCAACATGGATGAAGTAATTAATGAGCAGCGTTGTTCTTACTATGCTGAAAATCATTTGCAATATTACCAACTGGCTTGACTTAAGGTCTGAGAAAAAAAGCACCATGAAACGACTTATCTCACAGAATTACAAGGTAGGCTTTAAAAATATTCACAAGTGATCTGGGAGTCCTAATGGAAAAGATAACAGATTATCTTAATTTGTAGCATAATGTATCACCAAGGAATCAATGAAGCTGGCAAAATATTTTTAGATGCACATAATGCCTATACATCGAATGGCAAGTTACTGTGGAGACTTTCGTTATGATATCTGATCATCAAAACAATGTCGTCTTATTCTAATTAATATAAAATAATATACTTTCACACAAAACCAGATATCTATGAGTAATGTTGGGTGAAAAGTGGGATAAATCATCTGTGATGTCGAGGTAACTGAAGGACTGGGTTTATGTGGTAGAATTAGGTGATGATCTACCTAAGGAACTGACTTTCTTTTCTGTTTTGTAAATTTTAAAGCAGTAAATTGATGAGCATTAAATCACAACATATATGTCTTTATAGATATAATGTACTTGTATAAAATGTTTATCAATAAATACTTCCATTTCTCTAGCTATAAACAGTGACATAAGAAATAACACTATGTGTTCTTTTGATAAATGTCTTAAATTTTATTTTACTGGACAGAAAACTAAAGCAGAGAGATCATGACCTATATAACCAAGGCCTTCCTCTCCCCACACTCTCTATTCTAACAAAAGGATATATCTCTAATGATGTCCTTCTGGGCAAAGTTAATTTTAGGTTCCATTTTTGTATCTCTTTAGATACTCTGGTACCTAGCACATAGTAGACAAGCCCTCTAAACATTTTCTCTCGTGATTCAACTTTCAAAGATATGAGAAATGTCTTATTCTGTTCCCCAGATATGCACGATATTCAAAATACTACATCCAAGGATGACGGAACAACAAATGAACACAGATATAAAGAGAGAAATACGTATGGACAGATTATAGCTAAAATTCTGATGGTAATTGCTTAATTTAAATTTTGGTAACTGATTGTTGCAGATTTTAATTTGCTTAGCAGGCACTTTTCATTACAACTACAGATGGCACATGGCTGATAAAAACTCTTAACAAAGTTCTTTGATTCAAAAGCCCACATGCTTGCACCCCTGGAAAGATTCTGAAATGCATGAAGAGGCAACTCAGCTCTATTTGGGATATTGGTTCCCAAACTCTTTATCAACCCTCCATACAAAAGAAATTAGATATGTATTTTGATAGAGATATTAATACTTGCAGAAAAAGAAAATATTTAAAAGGACCAGAAACCAAAATTCTTCTATATCAAAAAATGTATAGAATTAAAAGTATATTTTAATCAGCTATTGGAGATAGCTCATTTCCTTCTCTTTGTTTTCTATCCTATTAGAAGGATATTTAATACTTACTATTGGCATCTCCGTCTGCAATTTCTGCCTCTAACAGGTTATCAGGCATCTTTCCGATTCCCCCAACACACACACACGCTGAACTCCAGCTCAAAGCAAGTTTTCTATGCCCCTGTATTATCCTCCATAGTCAACTCTGACTCATCATCGAGACTTTATCACCCTCAAAATCCGTATTTATACCTGTTAGAGGTCTTCACGTAATGGGGAGAAGATGACAATACTGAATCGGTTCTCCAGACAGGCATATCAAGGATATTTTCCCCAACCACTCACTATTTAGTAGAGACAAAATGATGCCACAGCCTACAGAATTGTCTAAGAGCAGAATGGCCATGTCACCAAGACACTTCTTGGCTCCACAATGAACTGATCTAGAGCCCAGCTGCAAAGTCACTCACATTTGCCAAGAGAGGTTTTGAGTACTCTTTGGGACCCACCCAACACACAAACAATGATTTAAACAAAATGAAAACAAAACAGAACAGGCTGACTCATTCCAACACTCCCAGCTCCATCCTGTAGGAAGAGGGCTAGAAAATGATGTGAGGGTTAGCCTAGGGCTTTCTATTTACTTTCATTTTCAGAGCGTCTACACAGTGGTAAGAGTATAAAATAGGGTCTAATTAAACCTCAACACACAGACCAGCTCATACATCTGACAAAAGAGTTTACTGTTCTGATTATATCATGTGCTACCATAGGGTTATTTTAATTATTGAAAAAAATCCCCAATTAGTAGTTAAAAAGCAATGAAATCAGTTTACCCCATGTGCCACACCCTACACCCTCTTATTGATTTGTGTCAGGTGTCAGATATTGAAATGATAATCCATTGCCTGTCCGAAGAGCACTCACCTCATTGTCCGACTCCACGAGAACTTGATCATATTCACTAAGCGCTACTAGAAACATGATAGAGGTGACATTTTCAAAGCAGTGTATCCATTTTCTTCTCTCTGACCTTTGGCCCCCCACATCGACCATTCTGCAAGGTTAACAATATTCATTATTAATAGCATATAAAAAAAAAGATCAATATAAACACAGCTTTTCTTACACACTTAGGAAAAACACTCTCTAAAGAGAATGGTCATCCAAGTCAATTCAATTAATACTTCTTGAACATCTAATAATTTTCTGTTACCTAACAATCCAAAGCAAGACATTCTGGGTAATAAACCATTGTGGTTATAAGAAAGTTATCAAACTTGTATGAAAACGATAACTTTGTAAAAAATCCTGTGCCAAGTCAAGCAAAATGGTGTTTTACTTAATCATGCACAGAAGAGTCTGAAACAAAATATGCTTTATTCGTGGTAAGCTCTAATGGCAAGTACTGATGTCAGTTTCTTTTTCTGTAAAATGAGAATGAAGAACCTTGTGTATTTCTCAAGGACGCTAGAAAGGACTGCAAACACATTTAAAAGATACAAGATGCTATATATTTCAATATGGGTACGTGTGATGCTTCAACTAAATGCAAACAGAACTCCACTGATACTTTATCCATGGAGTTTTTTGACTAGTTTTCTCCTTCCAACACTGGCAATAATTTGGGACAGGTCCAGTCATACTGGGTATCATGGTGCAATTGGCCTTAAACAAACAAACTTGTTAACGTGCTAAGAAGTGAAGCATATAAAAAACCAAGATGCTTCAACAGACCATCATTTGAACTCTTTCAAGGATTTGTTTTTAACATACCAATGATGTGCTGAGTTACTGGTTAGGAACCAACACTGACTTCAATTAATTTGAGTTTTACTGTTTATATGAAAATATCAGGCAATAGTTGGCACTGAAGCCAAGTTTCCTCAAATTGTTCAATCCATATCTTGACTAAAATGTGCACAATGTTTGTGGGATAAAATACTTTCAGAGAATGAAAGTTTCAGGTACAAAAGTATGAGAGGAGGGCTCTCGGAGCATCTGTTGAAAATGCTGGTCTTCTCCTGCCTCTGCGCATTAAACACAAACTTAGAAATCAAGGCTCCTCTAGTGACTGCTTCTAAAAGTTCTCTAAGGCACAGGGGCAAAGCAATGGATTCAGGGAGACCTATGAACTATGGACATCAAAACTAGACTTCTTAAGTCTTTAGAAATACTAAATTCGAGCTTTTCCCTCATGCCAAGTGAACAATTCATTACTCATTTACATGAAATCATCATTCTATAAAACCCTGTCACCCTGAGCCGTATAAGATCCTTTTGATGATGGCAGGAAATTATTCTTCTTAGTCATTACTTTTACTGTAGTGGCAAAAAAACATCCTTTACAGCTAGTGAACAAAATGTAGTAAAAACAAGATGTAAGAGTAGCCTTGTTTCAGAATCCACTATTAATCATAAAACAATGAAGAGATGAAAATCTCTATGAAATGCTCTAGGTCTTCTGAAAATATTCTGTAGTACAGTTATGAGTGGTAGGAAATTTGGGTGTTCCAAACTGAAGATCTCCAAATGCTATGAACTCAAAGCTTAAGTAATCCAGCATGCTGGAGCTACAAGGAACCTTGGTGATCACCTAATGCAACCATTTTAGAGATGGAAAAAAAAAAAAAATGAGGTTCAGAAATATTTCTAGAATGCCACCCGCTTTACAGATGTCTATTAGAGCGGCATATGGCAACCAGACCTGACTACAGGGGCGGAGACTGATCAGAATAAAACCCACAGTGCTTTGAGGGTCTGCTCATCTGAGCCACGTGGCAGTTATCCGGTAGGAGTCACATAACCCCGATTTCACGTCCCTGTAGTGAACATGGTTGTCTTCAATGGGATAGGCTTACAGAGAACTCAACTCTCTATGCTCAAAGACATATTCACACGGCTTCACTTCTCAAAGCACAATGTGATTTGTATTCGAACTAGAAGTATAACTGAATGACTGTATAATAAGAGATTAAATGAAAGCATATTGGTATTATTTATTTTTTCTCTTCTTAAAAAAAAATTAAAATATTTTCCTGAAGTATTACCCAGACAGAACAGCAGCAGCAGTTTTCATTCTATTTTCCTATATAAATTTAGACTAGGCTCATCAATCCATTTTCAAAATTACATGTTTTAAAACTTTTCAAGCAACTTTTTTCAGGAATATAAAACATCCCATATTTTTACTGCTACTGAAGAATTCTGCACCGGTATCAGCAGACTTGGAGGAAACAACATGAAAGCTTCTCACAACATACAGTTTCTATTATTAGTAGGGTCATAAGGTCATTCATAGGTTATACAAATCTAAAAATATACCCACTGTCCTCACAATTAAAATCTGACTCAAAGAACAGTCAGGATCAGTTCTCAAAGAATAATAGTCAGGACCAATGTTTAAGTGACTGATCTTGTTCAACCAACCACTTGCAAACTTAAGACTTTACTGATTTCTTGGTGATTGAATTTGAAATGAGAAACCTGCCCATACATCTTTCTTCTGCTTCCTCTTTCTGGAACATATTATTTCACCTGCGTATCTAATGATAATAACTGGTCTACAGGTGATATAGTTTCCAAGTCTACGCATGATTTCAGTATTTGTAGAGTTCCCCAAATGTACTACTCAAGGCACAGGAGCTGGGAGGTGGGTTTTACAGACTCAGATACTACCTGAAAATGACACTTTGTAAGTCAAAGGGGTATTCGATGATCCCTGTGGTGGGGACTCGAACTCTAAGCACATCTTGTTGCGTAGGCAGGTAGGCGGGGTCAGCAACGCGGTCCAAGTCATTAAGATAGCTAGAGGAGGGAAGACATAATGAGAACGTTAGGACACCATCATGCCAAATCTGCCTCTCAAAATGGGAGGGCAAAAATAAATCGTAAAAGAGAGGTGGAGAAGAGGAAGGAAAATATCAGAAAGGGATAGAGAGATCTGGAAAGTTGAAAGATAAAGTCAACCTTCCACTGGCCACAGCAAGGTAACCCATCTATGGATTATCTGGTTCACAGGCTTTCTCGTTTCTTCTCTCTCACTTAGAACCCATACAAAAAGTAGAGGGGGAAAAGAAAAGAAATACTTTCTGCTTATTTAGCAGGTCTGGTGGGTAAAGCAGGAGTTTAAAGCAAACTGATTTTGAATTACTTATATTGTTTGTATACTTGTATAAACAAACAGATAACAGAGTTATACGTAAGGTCAGGACACTTTTTTTTTTTTTTTTTTTTTGCCTTTTTGCAGAATATCAGAGCCTTTTTTCTGGAATGTATTTCCTTATTCCCCTAAGAGAGGACAGCAGCATACCATGTCCTAAATTCTGTCCAAAGCTAAGTCATTTGTGATTAATGTGAAGCCACAAGATTTGAGATTTCTGGTTACTGAGCTAACAATGTCTAAGGTCAGATATTCCCAGTGTTTAGAGTCACGACACCTAAACTTTAAATTTATCTGCTTCTATGATACTTCTGCACTCCTTAAAAAAAAAAACAAAAAAACCGCTTTCCATTTTGAAATAATTTTCAACATACAAGAAGTCGCAAAAATATTCCAGAGAATTCCCCTGTACCCTTCCCACAGCCTTCCCCAATAATAACACCTTACATACTGACAATGTATTATCAAAACCAGGAAACTGACATTGATCCAATACTATGAACTCAACTACAATCTATTTAGATTTCACTAGTTCTTACACACACACACACACACTTTTTGGTGGGGTGTATAGTTCTGTGAAATTTTATCACATGTAGAGATTCATGCAATTCCCACCACAATCAGGATACAGAACTGTTCTGTCACCACAAAGAAAGTGTCCTGTGTACTGCCCTCCTAAGCCTAACCCCTGGCAACGACACATACGGTCTCTATCCGAGTAATTTTGTCATTTCAAAAACGTTATATTCCATTTACTTTTCATTCTCTCAAATTGCAAAAAGATATTTTGCAACTTGAAGAACAGCGTGATTTGATAGAATTAATGACAAACAGGTGAAAAGGACCGTTCTTCATGGCATCCTAATGATTTCAAAGGCTTGCTACACTCCCCTTGGCCCTGGAGAGAATGGGGCACAGGTGTGGTTTCAAAGCATACAACTACCAAGTGTATACACAAAGTAACTAACGTATAAATAAGACTTAAAGAAAAGGTGGTCCCATTAATAGAATCGGAAGGGATTAGAATCTCAACACCTTAAATGCCCACAGAACACGACAGGGAGTTCTGAGGTACGTAACAGGAAATGTCTGGTGCAAGCATGTTGTCACTCAGCAAGTGCACAACCATTTAGTTGACGAGACCTACCTATGGGAAGGGTTTTGTCTCACCCAGCGTTATTTTTGCCTTAGAACCTAAAAGAGGGCCTGGCAGATAGTACGTAATGAATATTTGTTGGATGGATAGATGGATTTCCTATGCTGGCATTTAGTCTCAGCATTATTTAAATACCATTGTTACTAGTGGTGTTTCCATATTAATTATTATTAAACTTGAAACTGGGTGTTAACAAGAAAGATTGCATTAATTCTCTAAGATTCATGGATCATAAAAGAGTAGAGCTAAGTGACTTTAACAAAGACATAAAATTACTGCCCTTTTGGAGGTATATCAATTCTTTGAGACAAACAAAAGATAATCTTGGAAATTCCTAGTTCAAAGCAATGAATTCGTTAGTATTCTAGTGGCCTTATCCCAAACACATCAATGATTCTCTAGCTGGCAATTTGCTCTCTACTGACTGATAGGAACCAGCCCGATATCTTGAATTATTGTAAAAATGGCTAGACCCTGAAGGGAGCCTGCCAGGGAGCCTACTTTTCCCTCTCCCTCTGCTGCTCCCCCTGCTTGTGCTCACTCTCTCTCTCTCTCTCTCTCTGTGTGTTTCTGTCTCTATCAAATAAATAAAATAAAAAAAGAAGAAGAAAAAAATGGCTAGAGGATGAACACAGGGAGACTAGGACAAGACTGGTGTGAGAGGCAGGAAGGAAAATGGACTGGATCCAAAATTTTAGTCAATATCATGGCATGGTCTTGGAGGTAGGGTTAACAAGCCCATGTTCTGGGAGTTGGTTTGTATCTCATTCTGGTTTATCTCATCACGCTGTAATCAACTGCTAGTCTATAGACATGAAGTCTTCTGATTTGAAAAACTTGAAGTGAATGTACATTTTGAAACCCACGAGACCACCATTTATTTAACCACATATACCAAAACCAATTCAGAGGAATCAGAGAACTTCTAATTTACATCGGCAAGCTGGCTCAGAAATATGCTGCCCAGTAAACCGTTTCTGCTCACTTACTGCAATTCACAGAGGTCACACAGAGGGTGGTTCATTCTTGTACACAAGGTGCTGTCGTGTTCCTGGGGAAAAGAGAAATCACGGCTTTCTATTTCTCGAGGGTGAACTGAACAGACTACTCGCTGCCCCTCCACTTTCAAATATCAATGCGTATTTGCAGAGGAGAACTTAAAAAATCATCACAGGAAGTGGGAAATCATAACACTGCCCCTGATGGGACAAGACAGAATTGGGGTACTGATTCTGCAACCAAAAAGCCACTTAAAAGGGCTTACTGAGTCCCCTAAAAATATGGCTCATGATATCTCTCCATGAAGCAAGGGCAGTACTGCAAAAGAATATCTAAAGTGTTCATATACAGGCAAGGATATTTTTCCTTCTTCGTCTTTCTTTTGCTCCTTTTCAATGTCAGTACGGTCCACAAAGAGTTATAAAAACATACTTACACTGAGCACTGACTTGCTGCTTGTCACGCTCTGCTCTAACTGTTCACTGCGCAGGTGACAACAAATTGCATAGCAAGGAAATGACTATTAAAGATGTTCCATACATTTCTACAGTTCTTGCTTGACATTCTTTTTGCTTTTTCTCAGTGGGGTGGTGGAGAGAAAGGCTCACTTCAATTTGGAGTATTGAAGCTGGATTAATCTAGCTCCACAAAAGAAAAAAAAGCTGAAAGGAACAGCACTGAGATCTGCTAGTTCTACTGTACATCATCTAGAATCCAAATCAAGGCAAACCCAAAACACCTCCAAAACAAGGCAAGAAAAACAAAATGAAAAAACACAACAAATCACCCAGCCGCACGGAGGAAGGTCTGGGTGTCTCAGGAGCTACGCCAGGATTGAAGACAGGTTGGGGAAAATTTGTGGAGCAGGTGAAATGTGGGTGCAACGGAGTCCTGCATCTTTCACTGCCAGGAAGTGGCCAGCATGGAGAGTTTCTCGCTGCATAAGCCCCACCCATGTGCCCCCGTTGTTCTGGGCTCACAGCACTTTCTGCATTTCACATCTGCTTAGGGGAAATAGCCACTCCTGTTCCTTTAGAAATATGGTTACGGAGCGGTAGGACCAGCACGTCCTCATGTGTTGATTCCTGTCACATTCTAAGAAAAGGTAATAGAAGAGTCTCTGAACTGAACTGTGCTTTCCATTGAAGCATCTCATAATCCTAGGAGAAACTTGGGTGGGCTATGGGGGCGGGGGGGGGGGCTCGCAGTGGATTATTCCATTCATTTAACCTTTTACAAAGAAACACCGAGGTCTGAACAAATTTATATTGCAGAGTAAATTCAGAGAGTTAATTATAGCTATAATTTGTTTTGTAGGAATGATTCTGAGTGGCTGCTGAGGTCATTCTCAGGGTGTTGCTATGGTGACAGGCACAAGGTACATTTCCAAGGCAATGTATGTGTAACAAGTGGCTGGCAGTAGCTCTCTCCTGATGTCAGGGACTTATTTAACTGTCTAGGAGACAAGACATGTTTAAGAGTGTGCTAGAAAATGGGAGGTTTGGTTGATGAATCCATACTCCAGTCCATCCATGGGGACTGAATACCTTGCCTTTGCTTTGAGACATTTTGTAATTGATAACTTGGCAACTGATTAAAAAAAAAACAAAAACCCTCAATATCTTCCCACATGTGTTTGCCCGGTCAGGACTTTCACACTCGGTGGAGTCAGGGATCATGACTACCTTTGTTCGTGTCTGGTCACCGACACTTAGCCGAGGGCCTAGAACACAGCAGGTGCTCAACACGTGACCCAAATTAAGACAATTTTATGGAAAATATGGTAAGTGGTTAGGACGGCAGGTTACACTTTCTACGAGAAAACACAGGAGTAAGGGGGTTGTTAGCTACCTGCCTTTATGTAATTACCTTGCTGGGCTATTACTGGCCTGATTATGTAAGAACTAAATTCTGAATTTAAATGCCTCTGACGAATGTAGAGACAACACAGAGAGGAAAGGCATCATTTAACTTCATTTAGCAGATGTGCTTCCCGCTCTTCTTCAGGTCCTGGCCACAGAGTGAAATAATCTGTAGATCCGTTTCATGCTTGTCAATATTAAGCTTTTAGGCCTTGGAACTCCCTCTAGCCTTAGCACCTACGAGAATGTCATGGTCAAAATGTATCCGTGAATTCTAGATGACCCTGCATTTTTCTTGTGGTAGGAAAGAAATGATTGAAATGGAGGGAGTGGTACCTTATTGACAGACAATTCTGACTTACTCTGTTTAATGGAAGAAATGGGTTTCTAAAGGTTTTCAGTGAAAAGCAAGGCAACAAGAAAACTCATATAGTAAGATTTCAATCATTTCTTTCCTACCACGAGAAAAATGCAGGGTCATCTAGAATTCACGGATACATTTTGACCATGACATTCTCGTCGGTGCGAAGGCTATGTGTGAGATCCCCAGGATACAATCCCTGCCTACAAAGGACTTCACCAACGTGTGGCAACAAAAGGGTTATATGAAGAGGAGAAATGGTAA